TACATACCTATTTATTATGATCCTCTTGATTCGGACTTTTACAATTGAATAAAAGTTGATTTTTCTGCTAAGTGTTCAAGAGCGAAAAAAGGATAAAGGATAAAGTCTTGGAGCGTTGACCAATCCCATTTGAGGGATGCGCCCACGCATCACATCCATTCGAAATCGTAGTGGCGCATTGAATGCGTTTGTGCCTATACAATGATTTACGGTGGCCAGCCGATGTACAATTCAGTGATTTCATCCTCCCAGACGAGTCTGGTACGAAATAACCGACTCCGGAGAAATGGAAGGCTCAGTCGACCTGAGCAGATACCGATCTGGGTTTGAACCCGTGACCATGAGGGTGTGAAGTGCGCCACTTGCCACTGCACCACCTCTGCTCGATCAAAACTGATACATTTAAAAACTCGGTTCATTTCTCACTATCAGATTGCTACTGCCGAAATCGACGAAGGGGCACGGGTCTTTCTTTGCTTCGATATCATTTGCAGGGAAACTTATCCGACCGCCAATAGTCTGAGACCCCAAATAATGATATATCAGTAGAGAAAGGAAGCTTCATTGATAATGATTTTGCCTATGGTGTTATTGCCACTCGACAACATTTTTGAGTACCATTCAAGGTTTTGGCCGCTTACCAGTTGAACTTTCTGTGGGTCATTATTTTTAGGATGAACAGCAACAGATCGAGACTTCTCTTCATAGGCTGAGCATCGGCACAAACTGACCCCAACGTGCACCGCCCTATCTGTCTTGTGTCGAACTTCGCGTATAGGAAAGTAAGATTGCTTCTGAAGAAGGATGTCATAGGAAGGGAGGAGATTCGGTTGGTTAGATAAAACTTACAGTAGCTAAGTAGGTACACGACCGACCCAGGAATGCCTACGTATTGTCATCATGAATAATCATCAATTAGACTCTATGTGCCCAACTTATTCATTCGATCCTCTTCAACATAAGTATTACCAGCGCAATGCGATCAGTGTAGTTTTGGCTACTTCAACGGAGTCACACTTATTGAAGCCGCTTCAGGCTCCGATCGGCCAGGGTACCGGTCATCCATGACTGCTAGATGACAGAGCAAACATGTGCAAATACATTTGAACTCTGATAGCCGATCGGAGCCTAAAGCAGCTTCAATCGGCTACCAGAGTTCAGATTATTCGCACATGTTTGCTCTGTCATCTAGCAGTCATGGACGACCGATACCCTCGACTATGCTAGTAATCCTTCGAAGTAGACACAGAATTCTGAATTGAATTAGTTCTGTGTGATCGATTCGCGGTTCACGGCGGTCGCGGGGACTTCGTTCTTGCAGCTTTATACTTCGCACAGCTCGATCTATATTCAACTATTACTTTTGGCATGATTCTACGTTATTTCATTTGTTCCTGCATTCCTTACTCGATGCGCCATTTCTGCTTCATTTTGCTAATTCCAGCGTGCGCGACGTTGCTCTCGCGTCAAAGTTAGGTTGAACTGCACCACACCTTCATTAAAGAAACAATGGATTGGCGGATGGTCTCCACGAGTTGTCCGTTGAGGAGACTTTATGGGTGTTGATGAGCAGGTATAGCCCTGGACAGAGCGGCAACTCAACATTGAGTTGCGCTACCAAATTAGATGAGACTTGTCGACCTCGCTATGTCCATCCATTGTTGGTTCAGCCTTTCAACTGTGCCTGGAACTCTTTGATTGTACATGGCAGGTGCAGGGAGCTATCTTCAAAGTGACAGCTTGATATAACTTTTTGTGCCTGTTTTATGGACTGTAGTCACTAGAGGCGTCCAGCGATGCAAATTTTACAACAAAAATGCTGAGCTGTAAACAAACGTTGGCTTAAAGGCACAGTTCACGATAATTTTGAGGTACCCGTTTTTATTCGAATAACGGAAGAGAGATTGGGAATGGTTCATCGGTAGTGAAGAAAGCGAGAAAATTCGCCGATTCCGAGAAAAATACGGCTCATCAGAAGAGGTTGGACGAGATTGTCATGATG